CTACGTCACCCTCCTCTATGGCAACTTCTACGTCCTCCCGGTCCGCGTAATGATGCGATCCCTCCTCGCCAACAGCCCGGACGTCGCGGCCGGTGTGCGCGACCGCGTCGTCCTGGTCACCTCCTCGACCTCTCCCGCCGCCATCACCCAAATGCGCCGCGACGGCCTGACCGTCCTGCCCGTCCCCAACGTCCACTCGCCCTACACGTCGCACGCCAAGTTCGACGACCGCTTCGCCGAGGTCATGACCAAGCTCACCGTCTTCAACCTCACCACCTACTCGCGCATCGTCTTCATCGACGCCGACTCTCTCGTCTTGCGCGATCTCTCCCCGCTCTTCTCGTGCGCCCGCTTCTGCGCCGCCTTCATCAACCCGTGCTACTTCAACTCGGGCCTCATGCTGCTCACCCCTGACCGCGCCCTCTTCACCGACATGCACCGCGTGCTTCCGACCACCCCGTCCTACGACGGTGGCGACCAGGGCTTCCTCAACGAGTACTTCCCGGCCATGCTGGACGCCCCTGTCTTCGATCCTGACCATCCACCCCCCGTCCGCCCGCCCTTCGCCCGCCTCCCCTTCTCGTGGCACGTCGACCACAGCGCCTACTACCCGACCTTCTCCTTCGCCTTTGAAAACTCAAACCGCTGCGGCCGCCGACACAACATCGAGTGGCTCGGGCCCCCGCTCTGCAAGCCCTGGCTCTGGTGGACCTACGCCGCCCTCGACCTCTCCTGGACATGGAACCACTACCGCGCCATGCTCCCAGACCCGTACCCGCCCGCCCTGGGCACGCGCCGCAACGCCGTCCTCCTCATCCTCACCTCCTACCTCCTCCTGGTCACCATGCACCGCCTATTCGCCGCCCGCCGCGCCCCCGTCGCCCGCCTCGTCCGCCTCCTGACCCGCCTCAACCCGTCCGTCAAGGCCTCGCCGCGCATGGCCTGCTTCTACCCCGTCGCCCTCGGTCTCCTCCTCTGGGCCGTGCACTTTGCGGCCGCCGTCGTCCTGGTCCCGCAGATCCTGCAGCCGCGCTACGCCCGCGTCGTCTTCTTCCACCTGCGCCTCGTCGGCACCCTCGCCGCGCTCGCGGGCACAGGCCTCCTCGTGTGCGCCGCGCAGCGCGCCGCTCTGCTTGGCGGCGGCTCCGCCGGCTCCGCCAGGGCCGTCGCCGCCGCGTTTCGCCGCATGGTAGTGCTCGCAGCGCTCGACGCCGCGTATCTGCTCGTGGCCGAGCAAGTGCTGTGGGCAAGGCCCTTCCAAACCATGTGGGCGAAGGGAATCGCAGTGCTTTCCGTGCTGTTTGGGCAGGCTGTTTTGGCAGCCGCTGTGCTGGCAAGGACCGCCTTGATGTGGTCGAGGCTGGCACAGGGCGACGCAGCCAGGGAGGCGCGGTGACAAGATCCCTTCCGGGCTGCGCTCGTGCCGTGCCGCTGGTGAAGGCTTGGACGGCGCGATGAGCTGATCTCGGCGATTTTGCTGTTTTAGCTCTCAACTTGACACGCAAAGGAAGTACTGTAGAGGAATGGATGTGCCTGATGCCGATATTCTAAGGGACGCAAGCATCTGCTGAAGCTCAAGCATCTGCTGAATGCTTGCACAAATGAGCAAACCTCTCAAGAGGTTTTCTCATTTGTGCCTCTTCAGAGGTTTGCTCATTTGTGCTACCACTCGGCACCATGGTTTGCCAATTACAGTACAGCTTTACAAGTTTGCGAAACTGTTTCACAAAAAAAAAAAAAAGTGGGTGGGGCTTTAGAGCGAGCAACCAAGTTGTGACGTACCGTGTGCTTCCTGAAGGAGATGATGCAAATTACCAATCTCTCAATCTCTGCACCAGCCCTGACCACAAATGAACATCCAGGAACAATGTGTATCGACCTCAGTGCGTTATCGTCACTATAAAGCCCAAGATTATGACGATGTGGTGGAGCTATGCAGAAACGTTTACGGTGGCAAAGATTATCTCCCCAGGATTCTGGAGGCCTTGCCATCCGACCCCTTATGTTCACCAAGAGTTATTTGCCAGGGAGACAAGGTGGTAGCTTTTTGCAATTTGCGATTCTTGGAGAGCGATGCTGACTCTCACCATGTCGCTTACATTGAAGCAGTTCGAGTGTCGGAAGACAATCGCCGTCAAGGCCTGGCGACTCGCATCGTCCAGGAGACCATGGACAGTGAAATCGCCCGTGTCAACTCCCCAAATCCTGTTCGCTTCTTATCAACGACAGGGCACGACAGCGTCGCCATGCCGACCATTTTTGAAAGAGCCGGCTGGGCACGCCGTGGCCTCTCACTCATCTGGCCCTCAGATGCCAACTGCAACGCTATTAGGAATTCTAGTGCAGATGTGCGAGGTCGATATTTGGATTTGCTCAAAGTGTCGTCGTTTATTCCACTAGCCGCCAAACAATGTATATCGCGCTGGAGACAACTACACGATTCACGAGACATTCTTCTAGCATTACAGGATCTTCGAGCCCGTGGTGGCTGTTTCTTGCTACCACAATACTATTCCCTAAATACCGCTACAGGAGCCTCAAAGTTTCTGCAGTCCCAATTTTCAAAACAGGAGCGTCGCGAAGTATGGAGGCTGGAGAGGGACGACAGACCGCCTGTAACAATCTTCATTTCCGTCAAAACTGCAGCTCCATCAAATCAGCAGCCGGACCAATTCGTTTCGGTCTGCGCTGCAGACGTCTCCGGCGTCGAATGCTGCATCGCGTTTTTGGCATCCCAGGAGCAGTTGACTTACTTTCGAATATCGCTGGACCCCTTGATAAGCCTCGAGGATATGAAGAAATCTCCTCTTCTCTCAAAAGCAGGCTTCTCAGGTTTTCTCATCTTTGAAGCAACAAAGTGAGCGAAAGCATTTTCTCCACAACAGGGCACCCCCGTATAAAAGCTACAAAGACCCCAACGACCTGAGGTCCGGCAGGCCGAGAGGCCCGGATAACAGCAGCTTCGCCGACCACAGCACTCGATTGCGCTTATACTGCGCCGCTAGAACGCCTCCAGCGTACACCGCAACGACAACATGCGCGAGGCCCAACGCCTCAGCGATCAGGCGGAGCGTCTCTATCGCGTCGGCGCCTACCAAACCTGTACTCGCACGTCCAAACCCTGCGGCTGTCACCGCAGCCAGAATGACGATTCCAGCGCGCATTCTAGCCGTGAGCACAAACCGTTCCCCATCCGGAACGATCTCGTCGGTCACCGGCGGGACCAGCCACTCGCTAGCAGCGCGCAAGTCCTGTGCCGTCGGCACACCCGCCCTCAGCGCCCGCCGGTTGTTCCCTGCGACCGACGGCGCGCCTGCACCTTCCTTTGAGCCGTTCAGCACCTCCTCCGCGTCGCTGAGCTTCGCCTCCAAGTCGCGCCCGATAACGACCGACGCCCCGTCCACGTCAGCGTTAAATTCCCATACCCCCGAGCTGGCAACGGGCGGCGGCTGTATAAAGCTGGTCTCGTCCACGGCGAGGCCGAGGCGTCGCGACACCTCTAGATAGCCCCCCTGTTCCATGATCCGCGACACGAGGTCGGTCCTCCCGGCTGCGCCCAGCGCCGTGTACGCCAGCGGGTTCGGCCCGGGGTCATCGCAGGCGTCTAGATAGGCGCGGATTTCACCTTCGAGCTTGGCGAATGAGGCGGGGTCGTTTGAAGTGCTGCAGTGCCAGTGGGGGGAAGAGCGGGTGCGGCGGCGCACGGATGGGCGCGAGTCGAAAGATGATGCGTGGGAGAGGAAGCGCAGGGATGGACCGCTTCCCGACAGCGGTTGACGGGAAAACGGTGCCTGGATAAAGGCCGCCTCCGGTGCCGACATGAGTGCCTTGTTTTGAGACAGGGCACTTCGCTTTCAATGAGGAGGAAAGTCTCACCGCAGCGTTTCAGAGCGCGGCTTGGGAAGTAATGAACAAGCTGAGAAAGGTAAAGGGCTCACCTTCGAGATACACGAGTACAGCACCTCGGAGAGCAGCAAGAGAGAAGATGGGACCCAGTGTGGCAATGCGAGAACGGATAAAACTTGCAATTATTTTTCCGACTCGTCATGCATGAGTTCACGCCCCATTGGAGGGAGGCTGCCCCCATCAGCAGTGACCCCAAACTGGACAACATCCCTCTCGTATCTATCGGGCAGCGTCTCCGCCATCTCCAGACTCCGATACGCAACGATGCCCGACGCGCCCCCCCGTCCGCCGGACGCGGGCTCCTCTCCCCCGCCATCACCTCGCCTTGCCGCCATAACCGAGGCCTTCGGGTGCCCCATCTGCCACGCGACGGTCCGTGCCCCCGTGCTGCTCCCCTGCGAGCACATGTTCTGTTCGGAGTGCGTGCGGCGCCACCTCTCCAACGAGTCTGCGTGCCCGCAGCCGTTCTGCAGGGCCGCGTGCACCACGAAGCACCTGGTCCCGCTCCGCGCCCTGGACGTCGCGCTGGAGACCGTGCGCGGGAACTGCGCGCCCGCCACGTCGAAGAGGGCACGAAAGGAAGGCGCCCTCGTGTTCCTGTCGAAGAAGGACCCCAGGGCGAAGCGTAGGTTCGTCGACAGGCTCAGGGAGAACGGCCTGCCCACTACAGGCTCGCTTAACGCACTCGCCGCCCGCGACAGGGAGTTTGTCATCCGCTGGAACGCCAACTTGGACGCCGCTGTGCCACAGCCGAAGAAGAGAATCACGGACCAGCTTGTCGCGGATGAGAATCATGCGGCGAGGGAACGGGAGAATGCCGCGTATGTGAGCATCGGCACGTTTTTTGCTACCAAGATCGCGGGGGACCCGCAGCTGCCCGCTGAGGGCGATGGCTTTGACGACCTCATCCAAAAGATCACGGTGAAGAGAGAAAATTCGAAGCGGAAGCGAAGGGAGGTAGACGACAGAGAGACCTTGCCTCTTGCAAAGGTCCCCAAGCATGCTGGTTTGTCGACATCGCAGGAGGGCTTGAGTTCGAACGGAGAGCAGCACCCAACTCATGTCAATGTTGAACCTCAACAACAGGCAGTGCCTGGACTGCCTACCAATAACGTTAACTTTGACTGTCTCGTGGTCCCGCCCGCACCCCCGTCAATACCTTCCTCGCCATCCGATGGATCGGCAAAGGACAAGAGCGATAACGCGCACGACAGGCAAGCTTTCCCTAGACAATGCCCTGTGGCAATTTTGCAGCAAAGTACTGCAGAAGTGGGGCAGCTAAATAAGAGTCCAAGGACAGACTCTTTACATGACACTTCTCTTCCGCAAGCTGTCTCTAGAGGACAGTCTGCCCCATTCCCGCAGCGGGAAGCTACAAATCAGGCCGCAGAGAGGTTCGGGAAGAAACCAAATTTAGCGCGTTCGCGGGTCAGTCCGGATTCGAAAGAGCCTGAAACTCCGAAACACATTCCACAGCCTATACCAGGCATGGGTGCTGCTGTCCGCGGGAGTTTCATACAGGCTGCTATTCCTACCGCAACCCAAACTCCCAGCCCTGCTAAGATGCCATCTGCAGTCTCATCACGTTCACAGAGTGAAGTCGCAAACAGTGAAGTCGCAAACAGTGGAGAGCCAACAATACGGCCATCTAATCAAACGCAATCACCTCTGACAGATGAACAACGGCGTAGAATACGAGAGAGTCGCGAGAAATGCCTGGAGCGAAGGGTGCAACGCCTTCAACGTGAAAAAATGCGACAGCCTGACTTCTGAAAACCCAGTGCAGTATATACATTTATCTTTCGTTCGTGTCGATAAGCTAGAGTTGGAAAAATCGCCTACAAGCCCTGCAGCCATGTACAGTGCTCTTCAAATCGTTATCAATACCCCGAACAAACGATCCTTAGGTCGTCCTGTCCGATTCCCCACCAAAGATTGCACCGATTGCCTTTCGGAACAGACGTCTCGTGTTTCTCTCCACGATGTTTCCAGCCACTGCACGCGAAGCCTCCAGAACTTCGCGTCGCAAGCGCTGCTGTCGTATTAGTTCTCTATCCAACTGTTGCCTACTACGACTCTGCTCGACAGCCAAAATTTCTGGCACCCTTGATCGTAGCGCCTTTGCGAGCTCGATCGCGTTTTCAAGGCGCTCCGTATCGACCTTCTCCCGTGGAGAAGGAAGCAACCCATTCGTCAAATCTGATATGCGTTTTGCCACTGCAAGTTGAGCTGCATCTGCTGTGTCAGTCAGTTCCAATTGCAAAGCCTTTCTCAAAAATTCTCCGCGCTCGCTGAGGGTAAAATCGACAACGCGTTTCAGTGACGAGCTACTCATCCCTGAAAGTCTACTTTCGCCGTTCCGCTCCGAGGGGACCACGCCGTTTTCAGAGTTGCCTCCAGATCCTGTTGAGGACTTTGCCTTCAGTATTGACTTCAGCCTGCTCCATCGAATCCGTTCTGTCTCCGGGTCGATTAACACGCCTTCCAAAGCCCTCTGAAAGACAGGAGACTCGTCGGTTAAAATTCGCCTGACCACATAAGGGTAGGCCTCATCGACAATCTTGAATGAGGCGTTCGTTTGCAGTGCAAATCCCTCTAAAATAGTTAGTGATCGGATGATTAGAGTAAAGAAAACTGGGATCCTTATTGGAGTTTTATACGCCAATCCGGAGAGGTTATCAGCAAGTCGGCTGAAAGAAAGATCTGAAAGGGAGCTTCCCGTACTTGCGTCCCCGAAGGCTTCCGCCAAGAGAGGAGCCAGTGGTGCTGTGTCTGCGTCTGGCGGAAGAAAACCGAGCTTAACGAAGTCTTTTCCAAGGTTTTCATAATCTCGATTGATCAAGCGCACAATAGCAGCGACCAAGTCATATCGAATCTGTGGTTCGACTTCGACGCACATACCAAAATCAAGATAGCATAGCTTCCCATCCTTCGTTCGCAGTAAATTGCCTCCATGCGGGTCTGCGTGCACGAATCCCTTGTCCAACAACTGTTGCAGCGAACATTGCACACCAATTCCTATCAGCCGTTTTGCGTCATCTTTCGGAAACCACGGGGCCTTGTCCCCGTCAATCCATTCCATGCAGAGAATACGCTTTGTCGTTAACTCTTTGTAAACTTTTGGAACATGGACGTTGTCGTTTCCCTTTGCGTACAATTCGTCAAACCTCTCACAATTCTTTGCCTCATTTACATAATCCAGTTCCTCCCACAACCTCGTCGCAAACTCATCCACGATACCAACCAAGTTGCTTCGTAGCTTAAATCTTTTCTTGGCAAACGTGGCGAGACGCCGCAAAACGTAAACGTCCAAAGCAGCATCACGCTCGACAGTCGGTCTTTGCACCTTCACTGCAAGTTCTTCGCCTGACTTCAACCGCGCCTTATGCACCTGTCCCAAGGACGCCGACGCCACAGCGTCTGGTTGAAACTCAGCAAATATGTCGGAAATGTCGCGCAGCCCAAGTTCTTCCTTCACCATATTCAGAGCAATATCAGACTCAAACGTACCAACATCGTCTACCAACTTTTGCAACTCGGTGCTGTACACAGCGCCCACAAGATCTGGACGGTTTCCTACAGCTTGCCCAATCTTCAAATAGGTCGGGCCGGCCCACGTAAGAAGCTTTCGAAGGTCATCAGCGCGCTTTCTGGCAATATCGACCTCCCCGCTGATCCCTCGCCATTTATCCAATTTTCGTACACGAAAGAGCCAGATCAGAAATGGAATGCCCACGGATGAAAGACGAATGGCAACGCTCAGGGGTCGTGCATCGTAATACTTTGCGATGGCGATGGGGTCATATCTCTGTAGCCCCAATCCACGGTCAACGAATGCTGACAGATCTCCGCGTGCGAGACGTTTCAGACGTGAAACATCGGTCTTCAATAGCTGAAAGCCTCGCTCAGTCGTCTGCCGATCGGCTGTGCGCGCAGAGATGCATAGCCTTCGACCTGACGGCGAGCAACGACGCCGCGCTTCAGCAAAACATGTGTGTCGGGTGGCAGCTATTCTTACTCCTATGAATGGCGACACAAACGCTGAGACCGACGACATGGTGCGGTTAGGCCATAACTTATGCCGTCGTCGGACAGGTGAATCGTTCTGGTTCACCTTCGACCTGGTTCACCTTCGACCTGGTTTGAGGAGTGGCGCGTCAAGCGTCGTGTCGGTTGGGAGCTCAAGCGGCGTATCTGGCAAAAAGGCCATTTGACGGGTACCCAGGGATTTCGATTGTGCGGTCAAGAATTTTTAACATCTTTCGGATTCTTCGCTTTCCAAAAATACCTCTTGCACAATGCATTGCAAAATTTAGAATCCCCTTCCCTGCAAAACGTGGGGACCTACCAAGACGTGTGTTCATCCTCACCAAGGGGGACGTGGCTTATTTTCCCATTAGACTACGCGGGAGAGTATAGCCATATGCTGAAGTGCCTGAATTGCTAAAACCATCTTCATCAACCTCCTTCACCTCAACTCTTTGTCTGAAAGAACCGTTTGGATGGTATGGATGGTATTAAATTCCCCTGGTTCGAATATGGCGAAATGTACACAAGCCGCCTCAATGCAATCAGTCATTCCGACATATGCCAAGCTCAGTCAGAAAAAGAACAACCACACACTATCTTGCCTTACATCAACTTCTTATTCGGTGTTCCTCCTCGTGCGTAAGCTCCGCAGTCGAGTCTACAGCTCGAACAGTTCAAACGTGTGAAGAGGTCGCAACGAGTCGATATTGGGGGCTGGAAATGAGTAGCATCAGCTTGTGGGGTCTTGCAACGGACCACACTAAGGCGACCTCTATCAACAGCCGGAGAGATCCTGAGAAGCAAATCTTCCTTCTCTGTAAGCGGTTCGGATAAATTCTATTTTGATTACCGGCATCCGCATCGCTAAAAGTAGGGACTGACCAAATGATCATCATTACCGCGCATCTGGATTGTCGATGTCGATTTCTGCAAGCGAAGATGGGTGTTCTCCGCAAGCCGGTGACCCTCCCCTCAGTCGCAAGGGGATCTTTTTACAAAAAAAATTGGCCTTCTCTTCAGCCCATGATTGTTGTAATTAGTGATCTTGTGAGCCTTCTTGAACATCAATGCTCTCTAGCTAGCCGCTCTGGCCAAAAATCTTGTTGAGAGACATGCTTGTTAACACATTCAAGAGCATGTAAATGTATCTATCCAGCGCACTGGAGTCGGGTTGCGGATTCCATTTGCATTTCGGATGGGTGGGGTCACAAGGCTTATGCAGTAGGGAGGGACCGTGTTGACAAATATTCATGAGTGTTCCTCAGCAAGTGCGTAATGAAAGAATTTTCCGGGAACAAAGTGCAGAGTCACTAGCGAGCATACAGATTGATTTAATCTTTCTGTGGATATAGGCCTGTACAACTGTTGGAAAAATGAAAAGGAGATGTCATTTTGACGTTGCCGTGCGAGTGTTTGTCGCCCTTACTCTCGCCGCCAAGTTGCATTCCATCGCTCATTGCGCTTTACAGCCATCGATTAAGGGGGCCTTGCAGCGCTCCATGTTTGTAATGAGTAGTGGTTGTGCGCTTTGCTTTTTCCACGCCGCTAATTGCTACTGAAAGAATGTTTGCAAATGCTGTCTACATCTTACGCTAAGCGTATGAAAAGCGAACGAGGAAGTTGTGTTCACAAAGGCTCGCTGAAACACTGCGGTTTCACCATCAGACTGTCACGATTCTGATGGGGCGCGTGTGCGGAGGTGCGGGATGCATGTTTCACATGCGTACAAAGAGGCACCTGAGGCACTATTTTGGTGGCGCGATACCACCAGAGAAAATGACGTCCGCTAGAGTTCTTCGTGGAGGCGATGTTGGAAGTCGGGAGTGGCGCACAGTACCTTGATGGACATATTTATCCATGTAGAAAAGCAAAGTGATTTCTTCATGAGTACACGGTAAGCCTGAGAGTGAAGGGGTGCCCTTTTTCTAAAGAAATTTTAGAGATGGAAACAGGGCCTTTTCTGCCGTTACTATTACAGGACAAGCATGAGTTTGCCCTACCGGGCGATGAAGGTAGGGCGGACCGCAGGCATGTGCAAAGCTTTGTCTAAGGCATCGGACACCGCGGCCTCTTTTTGCTTCCATGTGCGCCCTCTTCTTGCCCTGTCCCCTTCCACGCTTGAAAACATATCCTTCACGATCCCGTTTTGTGCTGCGCAGGGCCTGTACAAGACAGTAGTACAGACGTCGATACGCTGGCGACGGTTTCTGTGCGAAATGGTCGAATTTTGGGGGAGTTGGAGGGGAAAAAGTTTTATCATGGGCATGGGGCCACAGAGCCAATTCTGATCGAAATTTGTGCTATAGTATGATTGGACGAAAATGACTTTGGTCGAACTTATATTATATATATATATATAGTTCAATTCAGTATTTCTGTGTTGCATACGAGGACACGTCGCTGTGGGATTTGAGAGCTTCCCCAGAAACGAGACTTCCGCAAATTCGCTCTGACACAAGAAGCTGATATTGCAACATGGGTCATTGAGCAGACGTTTTTTATTGAGAGGCGTCAAAAGTATTCTTCAAAAGCAACTCTCTCTTTCCTAGTCACGCTTTTCTTCTTTGAGCTTGTCACACTGACGACTCTAGCCCAGGCCACACATCCGAATCTACCTGAAAAAAGCAGAGCTCAACTCGTTTGCGACTCTAAGAATACACGAAGCACACAGATGACGTGCGCCTCTTTCGCAAGGAAAGGCTTTGCTGAGACTCTTGGTGGTGAAAAGGCGGAAGCAATGTGAAAGTGGTGCCTTGTTTTCAAATCGATTGTGAGGGAATGGTCCTTCTTTTCCTCAATTCAACGAGATTAACGTGTCCGCTTCCATGGAAGTACCATTTTTGGCTTGCACTGCAACGCAGTCTGCACAGCGAGGCACCGCTGGAAAGTAGCTTTGCTTCCGCTTTGGGGGCATTATCACATACGCTTGAGAGGTGGAGATCGATAAGCCACAAAAACTTTGTCTTCGTACGTGACCAGTACAGTGTGTGTGAGTATGGCCTAACGAGTCTTCGAAAATGCGCGATGGCGTTTTTGTTTTCAGCTCCTTTGCGTGTCGAGTGGGGCGATAGCGAACCTGCAGCTGTATCCACGGGCCTACAATGACAGCTGTACCGCAGATCATGTCAGGAAAAGAATAATTGACGTCGCTTTGTTCAGCGGAGAGACAAATGATGGCGTTGGGGTGATTTGACCCTTCCACGTCAACGTGTTGGCGGAGGTAAAGAGGCACGACTAGTGGCCTACATGTAATTTTCCCTCTATGCCTATTCTCACTGTTCATTCGTCCGTAAATGGGCGACGGGTGCCTGCGTAGCACTACAAGCCTTGGGGGAACAAAGAGGACGCTGTTCCGTTCTCACTATGCGGATGCAGGCTGCACAGAATGGAAAAGTGCAGAACGTCGACTTGCATGTGTGTTCTGAACGAAGGCCTAGGCAGTTGAGCGAGAAGGCGGCCAAGAAAATTCTCATCACGATTTTTGTGATTTGCAGCCCGTCCGCCACATTCTCTGCAACGGACACGCCCTAGATTTTGCATAGGACACTTCCTCATATTTACCGCATTGCTGGGTATCAAATTCCTGGCCATTTATTTTGCAACACGTTTCATACATGAGATTTTCTATCTACTGTACCAGGGCCGTTGCGGATGCGCCGGCACCAGTGAAACTGAGAATTTTGTGATTTCAGTTCCAAAACGGAAGGTAAAGCTACTGTACCAACCAGTCCACCCACTCTTCTTCTTCCATCCCCAAGTCGACAAGCTTGCTTGCATTGCGGCAGTGTCAGCTTAGGAATGCACCTGATTGGCCAATAATGAATCTTTAATGTTTTCCACCCATTTCCTTGGCAATCATATATGAGCTCCGAGCAGCCAGACTTCACCTCATAGAGCAGATCTATCTGTGATCCTGCCTTTCAACGGAGTTGGCAACGCGATCATGCATTCTGTCAAGCATAGGTTGTGCTCCTGATGGTGAATCAAGAGGGACTGCTTTGGTTTCGAAGTATGTATGGGAGATTCAAACTCCGGTATCGAGGTCCGTCGCCAGATTTGTACTGGCAAGAAACGCGCTAGTTTGAGTGCAATGCACACCCGAGGAACGTAGACCACTGATTTGGTGCTCTCTACGGGCTTACAACAGACATCGTGCCCGATAACCGGCTAGTGAGCTGTGTCGCTACTCCTATGCTGCCTTGGAGGTAGTGTCCGAGCAGGACTCTTATTGGTTTGAAAAGCTCTTCAAAGATCTGGTGCATGAAGTGCCATTTTTCGGCGTCTCGAGATGTGAATGCTGCCCCCTCCTGAGGATTAACCTCCACTGGGCATGGTCGTAAAGTTGAGTTACCGTACAGTACTTGTGTATTCACTGTCGTCACCGGGAGTTACAAGTACAGTTTTCAATACTGCTTAGAGCCCGCCACAAGTTGGTTAGATTAAGCAAGTCAGGCCCTCGACAAAATACGTGGACCTGTCGAGTTCGAGTTCGGGCATCTCAAGATTAATAACGTCGAGGATGGAATTGTGCACAAGTTGATTTTTTTGTAAAATTCAAAGTATAAAGAGGCTCTGGTTGGTTGTACCTAGTGTCATACTGGACTAGACGTATTTTCTAGCGGGCCACGGCAGGGACTTTTGCCATAGGGCTGTATATATGTACAGAATGCGAGGGGTGGCAAGGTACAATAGGGCCGTCTCGGTGCATCCGATGCACCGGTGCTTAAAGCTTCAACTTGGATCTGATTTATGCCGGGCGTGCATGTATTGCACGTTGCTCGTGGTGAGATTGGACAAGGGCGACATTTGCCGCCAAGAAGGGGGGCAGCAGATTGCAAAACTGGGTTTCTCGGCGTGACCAGGCGTTATGCATCTCACGGAAATGAAGCTCAAATGAAATTATCCACTGGGCAAAGACGTGTGTTCGGGTGTGTCCGGTGGTGCGATATGAGAGCGAGGGGGATGGGGGTGGGCCGACAGCGATTTGTATCGGTAGCATGATCGTTACTTGTTTGGAGAAAATGGAAAAGTTAAAACTCGATGGAGATATTGCCCGTTACATCGTGGCTGTGTTGAAAAGGCAGGTGTTGGTTCGAGGTGTTCGAAATGGAAATGGAAGAGCGAAAGATCGGTGTTTTCTCTTAAAACCGTGGAGATGATTGGAGCAACAAGAGAGAAGGGATGACAGCAGGGGGCGGGAGGAGGGGGGGAGAAGAAGAGATGAAGATTGCGAGCTGAAGAGTTGTCTACTCTTACCGGTGTGAGATAGGCCAGTGTACAGTGTAGTATCTTCTTTGAGCGGTTTGAGGTGGGGTGTAGAGACGTGAGTGGTTCAAGGTGACGAGCTGATCTTAATTTAGATGGTGGGGCATAACTGGGGCAAAGTTTACCAAGGCATGAAAGATGCACCGGTGCCCAATATTGCAACCGCCTTCGCTGTCGCGAAACGGGCAACGAGAGGAATAAAACACACGGTATGATTTTGCGAGATGATGTGGACAGGTGGGTGTGGAGCCAGGGTGAAACAGGTGGAATCAGTGTGGCTCATTTACAGAGTGGGCCCAGAAAGGTGGCTACAACTGAGGTACAAATTGAAAAGGATGTTGTATGGTCCGAAAGGTCTTGGGGCTGGGCGTAGGAAGCAGAAAGAGGGAGGTGGGCAGTCGACGCAAATTTCCGGGGGACAAGAAGTGCTACTCATCAGGATGTGATTGGCGGAATCGAGGCATCCGTGCGCAGCGCACGCAAATGCCCCGAAAGGGGAAATTTGCCGGCATGGCGGGGGAGCAGATGCGGAAACGCCGCGGAAACGTGGCAACGTGTGCAACGAAGGGCGAGAAATCGAATGGCGGGGCCGCTGTCGAGGCGTGGAGGACCTCCGCGGTGGGTGCGAACGGGCGCTCCAACGGCCGATGCGCCGTGTTCCAAAATTGAAATATCTTTGGCCCACGATTGACCGCCGGACGACATGCCCACATGTGTCATGCAAATTGGATGTTGCATATGTCGACCGCGTGTTCTCGCCCCATGCACCCGCTTCCCCACCTCCGGAATGCATGGACTCCTCCCCACACTGGTTCCCAACCCCGTCCCTCCTCACTCCCCGCCCCCGCCACGGCCTCGTACCACATGTACATTGCTTCATTACATGTTCATTACGCC